AAAAAACCAAAGTAAATCAGCACAAAAGCAAAGCCAAAAGGGAAAGTAGTGAAAGAGGAAATAAGACCTCTACAACTCACCCCTTCAAGAAGGAAATAGGGCATTGCCCGGATCCAAGAAAAAGACAAAAAATGTCAAGGATCTTCAGTCAAACATGCATCTCCAGTAGCCTTCTCTCTTCTTCTTCGACGTCAGCAGCTACAAGTGCACGTCAACCTTCTCTCTTCTTAACCGACGTCAGCAGCTAAAAGCGCACGTCAATTTCTCTCTTCTCCAACGACGTCAGCAGCCACCAACGCGCGTCACACTTCTCTCTTCTCCAACGACGTGAGCAGCCACCGGCGCATGTCAGACTTCTCTCTTCTCAAAGTTTCCAGTTTCCATGCCAGCTAGTGTCCAAGCTTCCTCTTGCTTGAGCCAGAGTTCAGCTTGAGGGGGAATGTTAGACAATAATAATAGTACTTCTTGTAGTATTGGTTATGGTAATGTTTCATTATTAGTCAGCTTCCTAATCCTATTTGTGGTACATGTTGTATGTTAGTTAGTTTCTATTCTCTATTCCTAGTTGTGTTAGGAGTCTCTCTTATATATACTCTATCATGTACTCCATAATTCAATGAGCAATATTATTATTCCAATATTTCAACAGCCGTCATTAAAGAGTTCCTGAATAGCCGATCACCACACAGCCTAGCGGCGTGGAAGCGGCATTAAACAACCTTGCCAACATGATGACAAATCTTATGGATAGATTGGAGACCTTTCTCGGTCCTTCTTGGGTCCCAAGGCAGATCCCCTAGATGCGCTCGGAGCAGATGAATCCCATTCTTCAAGAATTCCACACTACGGAGGAGATTGAACGAGAGAGAGAGAAAGGCAGTAAAAAGACGTCTTGAGGAAGAGTTGGCCCAGAATACCCGAGAGTGCGACAGGTTAACTCAGGCAAAGACTCGGGACCCAATTGCTCGTCGGGCAGCCGACCAGTCGTGCCATGCGGAGACCGGGAACCCCAAGGCTTTAGTCTTTGAGCGAATGACGCAAGGGAGAATACCGTGGAGTGCACGACTGGGAGAGAATCCAGAGAAAGCCCTGCTTAGATGAGAACCACCCCCACCGAGCCACATTGAATCATCAAACCAAGATCCGCGGCGCACCAGATCATGGGTTGAGCCAAGACAAGTTGCACAAGATGCATGTGCCTCAAATGCATCAAGCACTTGGGTCCTTGAATCTAGTGCATTTGAGCACATCTCCGGCAGCACTTTTGTTTTATCCAATGTTTCTAAACAAGGTAACTTGCCCATAATCACACTAGCAAGTGGACTTCAAACACATGCTATGTGAATTGCAACAACTCTTTCACACACATTTTTACCACTCAAATTAGTGTTATTTGTTCCAATAAGTTCCTTTAATCTTGTGTCAGTTATCAAACCTCCTGAATCTCCTAAATTTTCAATAACCTTTTTCTCTAGTTTTGTGGTTATTCGGGACCGATGTATGGGGAAGATGATTTGCAAAGGACGTGAGTCTCGAGGACTTTTTGTTCTTAATTTGCCAGATTCTATTGCATGTGTGTCTATCGAGTCAACAATTACTTTACATAATCGTCTTGGTCATCCTTATTTTGGAAAACAACAGCGTATGGTAACAGGTTTACCATGTCAATCACCCTAGCTTTGATTTGAGTCATGTCATCTTTGAAAACAACCCTGGCCTATAAGTCTTTTCTAAGAAGAGTCAATAAACAGGCAACATCTTTGTTTGATCTAGTCCATACTCATGTGTGGGGGCCATATAGGGTTAAGTCTACAATGGGATTTCAATACTTTGTGATCTTTGTTGATGATTTTTCCCGATATACTTGGTTATATTTAATGAAATAATGTTTTGAACTGTTTGATATATTCCAAAAATCTTGTGCGGAAAATCAAACTCAATGTTTTCCAATTCATTTTAAACTTAAAAGTGTGGTGAGCTTTGTGCATATATTCAGTGAGCTTTGCAATGAGAGTCAGTCAGCTTTGTTGCTGGGCATTGTGAGCATTTAACCATCCGATTTTGAAAAAAAATTAAAGTGTTGAAAAATCATGGTGAGCTTTGCTGTGGACAGTGGTGAGTTTTACAGTGATCAGTGGTGAGCTCCAACGTCATCTGACTGAAACATGTCATCTTACCATAAGGTGTCATGTCACTAGAGTCAATCCCTATATATATATATATATATATATATATATATATATATATATATATATATATATATATATATATATATATATATATATATATATATATATATATATATATATATTGGTGGTGGGAACCACCAATCTTGTTGTCATTCTGCAACCAGGTTGACAGAGAAATCGTAGTTTAATGTGTTCAAAGCTTTCAATTAAAACACCAATAATGGATTATGAAAATTCATGTCTAGGGTAAACTAGATATAGGAGAGCTAAGAATAAGTTATTTAAATGGAATGGAAATATTCCGATGTATTAATGGTATATTGCTTAGAATTGCCTACCTCTCCTCACGAATGGGGGAAAGTAATTCTATTGGATACATGCCTTACATACTTGTCCGGTAACTATTGTAATGGGCAAGACCCATATGGCCTTGGGTCCTTTACTACAAAAGTATAGGGAATAAGTTGTAATTGGATATCCACCATTCCATCACCTCCATTTCAATTCATCCTTACGTATAATTTTGAGCCTAGATATGTTGGATCTTTTGGTACCTAGAGCTACTAGCTAAGGCCAAAGAAGATAACCCAGTGTGCAGTTCAGCCTGCTAAGGTGGGCGGATAGGGCCAAAGAGTTTAGCCCATCAAATTCGGGCCAACCAGGCCCGCCCATGTAAATGGGCTAATAATTTGTTTCAAACTCAGCCCAAATCCTTATTTGCACAGGTCTAAACAACATATCTTGTCTTACAAAAGGAACTATTTTTAAAGTAATAATATTTATGCATATTTGTTATGTAATAACCCATGAGTAATTTCCCTCCCAATATTTGTTGACGTTCGTGTATGTGAATTGTGATATTGCCTTTAGCAAAGGACAACTTTAGTTGCGTCAAGAGTGGATATATATATGTGTGTGTGTGTGTGTGTATGTATATATATATGTGTATGTATATATATGTGTGTGTGTGTGTGTAAAACCAAATGAAATAATTTAGCAAGTCAAACTATAAAGTTACAAGAAACAAAATCAATTCATAAAAAATGCAAGAACTTCAATGCTCTATATGCGTGTCTTTTAATTGTACATCTCAATAAACCAAAAAAATAATGAGGAAGAAGATTAAGTAATAAAGAGATGTCGGAGTTTGGATTGATTTTTTAATGAATCAAACGAGACAAAGCTATCTATGAGAAATAGGATAAATATGAGTTATGCTAGTTAAGTTCGTTGATGAGGCAAATAGGATGATCACCCAAAACATCAACTAAGAACTATGTCAAATATATTATACTATAATCATTGTGTTAAGGAACCAACTAAACCAAAAGCTCAAACTTGTGGTTGTGGCCCAGAAATGATTTTTTTAATTCTAACATGGTCCCACAGGTGTAGGCGTAATCTCTTCTGAACCTTGCATGCGAAACCTTAAAATTTTTAAAACTAGGTAATGTTGAGGTTCGAACCTGTGACATCTAAGTAAAAAAGCCTTTGATACCATGTCAAGGCAAAAGCTCAAGCTTGTGTTCTAGGAATAATACTTTAACACATTGCAAAAGGCTAGGGCGTGAATATGAAAACTGTAGTAGTGTAACACCCCGGCCCCCACCCTGGCCGTAAGCGTCCGCTCATAGAATTGTAGAATGGCCTCACAAACCAAGACAAGTCTTTCCCGCGCACTTTGTCCTCACACATGCGCGCCCAAGGAATTTCTCAGAGGGTCACCCATCCTAAAATTGCTCCAAGTCAAGCACGCTTAACTTTGGAGTTTCTAGGTGATGAGCTCTTGAAAAGAAGATGCACCTTGTTAGCATGAGTAGTACTATCAATCCTTTTGAGCTCTTCACATTCCCATGTTAATACGGGGTATTACATTCACCCCCACTTAGGAATGCAACGTCCTCGTTGCATCCTTTTTTAAACCCCTAGATAAAGCTAGGTGAACTAAGCTCTTTTTCGCCCGTCACGGTCGCAGGGTTGTTGCTCTGATACCATTTGTAACACCCCGGCCCCCACCCTGGCCGTAAGCGTCCGCTCATAGAATTGTAGACTGGCCTCACAAACCAATACAAGTCTTTCCCGCGCACTTTGTCCTCACTCATGCGCGCCCAAGGAATTTCTCAGGGGGTCACCCATTCTAAAATTGCTCCAAGTCAAGCACGCTTAACTTTGGAGTTTCTAGGTGATGAGCTCTCGAAAAGAAGATGCACCTTATCGGCATGAGTAGTACTATTAATCCTTTTGAGCTCTTCACATTACCATGTTAATACGGGGTATTACAAGTAGAAGGATGAATCCGAAAAGAACTACGAACCAGTCAGAAAGAAATGGAAACCTAAACATAAAATGGAAAGGCAAATGAAAACATAAAAAGAACAGGAAGAGAATCCTCCTTGAAGGTGAATTCAAGAAGGTGAGCAATAGGAAAGCAGTTGAAAGAATAAGGCGTGTGATAGAGATGTTGGAAGGTTAGGGGCGTCAACAACCCCAATAAACAAAAAGAAACCAGTCATTTTCTGAGGAAGTATGATTTGGTTATCTTTTTTTTAAATTAGAAAGGAGGGGAGACCCCAGACTAACTCAGATGCACTCTACGAACAGCTGAAAGTGTTGTATCCTCTTCGCTTACTCGAATGAAGGTTTCTTACATGAATGATTGAGGAGATTGGGTTTCAATTCTCTTTGCAGAAAGTTTTGATCTTTTTTGCTAAAAGATGTTTGGGAAGTGAGTTGTCAGCCCAGACCCAAGGAAAAAAAATTGAAATTCCAAATAACTTTCCATATATGCACCATTGTCTAGGTTGTCTGTTTATGGTTATAATAACTTATTACTGTGGTTGTGTTGGGGTATCCCTCCTACATGGAGGAAAGAGTTCCTAAACAATACATTTGGTGTTAAAAATGTAATTTGTTTAGAGGTGGAGTAATATAATAATAATAATAATTATTATTATTATTATTGTTATAAAGAAAGAAATGGGTCAAAGTGGTGGGGGCTACCACTTACCTTTGGGGCTGCCACTTTGTAGAAAAGGCAAAAGCCTTTTGTGGCTGGTCACGGACACAATTGAGCAGCCGAACAGAGCAAAACAGAGAGGAAAAATGGAGTGAAACCGAGAGAAGGAAGAAGGGAGAAAAAGAGAGGTGCAGCCTGGTTTTGTGCTCCGATCGACGACCAAACGAGCTCCGATCGGGATGAAATTTTAGTATGTTGTTCCTCACATCCTCTTCTTCATATCCAACGGTGGGATTGTTGTTTTGACCTCTCGATGTTGGTAAAAACGCTCTGTTTCTCTGCTGCGTTTTTGTGTGGTTTTCTCACTTTTGAGTGAAGATTATTGTTGTTTGGTGTTCCAAGTTGTTGCTTGATAATTGTGTATACCTCTAATTGATTTAGAGAGGATTCTTGGTGTACCCACTGATTTTTCTTGGTGATTAGTGGAAGGCTTCGTGGTTTTTTCTCCGATTTGGGGTTTCCACGTTAAATCTTAGTGTTCGTTTATCGTTTGATTGATTACTTGTTGTCGTGTTTACTATTCTTGATCGGTCATATGATTTTGCCCATTTTGACAACACAAAGATGGGAAAATTATTAATTGCTTCCGCTAGAAAATTGAGGTGATTTTCCCAACAGGTTGAATTAGGACACTTTTTAAAATTCTTTAAGAGTGGGTTAACTTACAAGTTCTTTGCAGTAGCTATGACTTTGTATGAGTCTAGGATCTTACCATTTGAGTCTTACAATTGTCAACTCTCTTCTGTCCTTGACTAGGTTCTTGAGTTAAACAACCTTGCTTAAATTTCTTGGTTCCTTCTAGTGACAGGAAGTGGATATGATTTCTTCTTGGTTCACTCTCTGGGTTCCTATTAAAGTTTTCTCACAGATGTGGTCTACCTATTGTTTTTAGAACCTTTGCAAAATGTTTGCTTCAAAGATTTTAGAAGGAAAAGAAAAGAATATGTTTTTCTCACATTTTCCTCACTAAAATGGAAGGAATCTGATTTTCCCTTCTTTTAATACATTCTGCTTTCTAATTTTTGTTATTTCCACTTTTCCTTTCTAACCAAACAAGAATTTTCTTCTTCATTTTCTTTTCTTTTCCCTTTCAAATTCTTTTATCAAATTAATAGATTATCAAATTTTCACAACAAATTCATAACAATTAGCAAAAATTTCAAATTAAGATATTCAATTCTTCACATAACAAATTCATAAACAAATAACAAATTGTCATATTCACAACAGAAATTCAGAACAAATTCATAACAAAATTTATAAAGATTAAAGATTTTCAGATTTTCACATAACAAATTGTAAAATTATTAAAGAAATTCTGAAATTGGCATTTTTTACCTCCGTACCTGGACTCCTGGACCTGGAGGCTGGAGAGTTTCCGGCGAGGCGGCGTCTGGCGGGAAGCGGCTGAGGACTCTAGAGCAGTGGAGCGTGCAGGCGGGCGGCGGCGTCTGGCGCTCGGCAGCGACTCTCTCTCTCTCTCGGCGACTTACTGGCGTCTTTTAAAATTTTATAGGATTAAGTGATGTGAATCCCAATATTTATACCCCAATTTGTACCCCGCAGGTTTGCACTAACATTTTACATTTTGTGTTGGTGTAAAACTAATTTTTTTAACGCACCAACACTTTGTGTTCGTGTAAATTTTTGTTAACGCACCAACACTTGTGTCTGTGTAAATCATCAAAATGTTTGTGTATAACTGTGATGTACAAATGTGGTACAATTTTTAGTGTAAGTATAGCATGGTCCAATTTTATTTTGTGCCTTTGTAGGTTTGGCGACTTTGTACAATATTCATTTATGAATAACGTAATACTCATTCTAAAATCTAGTAGTACTCATTTCCAAATAGCCCAGTACTCATTCTTAAATAACATATCATTCATAAAAATCTAAAATCTTGTTGAAGACCATACTGGACTTAGAACATATTTGGAATTAGATCTTCGTCTACCTGGAATTGCGGAATTGCAGATAGGAAGAGTCTTTTTCCCGATCGATTTCACCCAAACATGCCGCCTTCATCGCTGATTCAATTCGCCCTAACCTGCCGCAGATCTTACTTCTTCATTGCCGCAGATTGATTTAGTCTGCCGCACTAGATTCTTGCCGCAGATCCATTTCATGGTTTTCACCTTCTTCATCGCCGATCTTCCTTTAGCCCAAATTAAACACCGGTTGTACGGTTCTTCCGTACAGCCGGTTGTACAATATAAATTGCGCTTGTCATAGGTCTCATCTTTTTCTCCTAGGGCTGGGGATGATTTTATTGTCTGGCGATGGTGTGGTCGCAGGGACGGAGGTAGCCATGTCAGTTCGAAGGGGCGGTCACAAATTAGGAGAAAATGAGGAAGACAATGGGTTCCCCCCGTGGTTTACAAAATGAGGGCCAAAATCCCTTCTATTTTTAAAAGTTATTTGTAAAATCTGTGGGGTTTTAAAATAGAGCACAGACGCTCATTCTTGCCTATTTTTAGACATTAAATGACATTTCTGCCCCTTGGTTTTTTTGTCTTCAAATTTCACTTTTTTACATGCATCTTTTTTTTATACAAATAAATAAAATAAAATAAAATATATGTCCTCTTTCTCAAATAAAAAATTTTCATTTATTTAATTTTCAAAAAAAATATTTTTTTAAAAAAATGTTACAAAAAAAAAAGAAAAATTAAAAAATCAAATAAAATACGCTTTTTTCATTATACGTAAAAGTAAAATAAAAAAATTAGATAACATATACTCACTCTATCTCTAATTAAAAATTTTAACTTATTTGTTTTTTAAGAGTAACATAATTTTTTAAGGACTTTAAAAAATGAAGAACAGAAAAAATATATTTTTATTTCTTTTCATTACCTTTTTCAATTATTATTTTTTACTTTATACATAATATTTTAATTTTCTTTTTCTTTTGTACCGTTCTCTAGAAAAATCTTTTGTTTTCAAAAGTACATTCTAAAAAATTTTAATTTGAGACGGGAAGTGTATATTTTATTTTATATATTTGTATAATAAAGAAAAATAAAATTGGAAAAATTTAAAACCAGGGAAAAGAAAGGAGATATATATCATTTTTGCTTTAAATATTTTCAAATATGTATTTTGCGCATCCCCTAAATGCATTTACATCATAGATCAGTGGTCAGACTCGTTCTTAAGATTTTTAAGGCTTGGGGCATAAAAAAAGTGGGTCTTAAAAAGAATTACTAGCTAATAGTTAAAATATCTTTGTGACTAAAATTGAAATGCAATAAATATAACAATAAGAGTCCTTTTGACACACAAAATTAAGGGATTTCGAATTTAATTTGAAATTGAAATTCTATAAAATTTATTTTGATGAAATTGAATCCTCTAATTCCGATTCATTTTTGAAACTACCAATTCCAAATTCACATCTTTTTGTGCTACCAAATACTCCTCAATTTCTATTGAAACTGTTGTCCTCAATTTCTATTTCATAGTTTGATTTCTGTGTACCAAACGGAGCCTAAATGTTTTGTATATAAAGAAAAATTATAAATAAAAAATCAAAGTAGCTTAAGGCTCCGTTTAGTACACGAAATTCAAACTATGGAATTGGAATTGGAGACAATAATTCCAATTCTTCTATTTAGTAGAAAAAATATGTGATTTTGAAATTGGTAGTGCCAAAAATGAATTGGAATCTGAGAATTCAATTCCATCCAAATTAATTCCATAGAATTTCAACTTCCAATTCTATCAATTCTGTGTACCAAACGGGCCTCAAGTATTTGGATGAGGAGAGAAATTGAGTGGAAAGAAAATGAGAAAAGAAGACCAAGAGGGAATAGTGAGAGAAAGTTTGTTGTTTGGTTGATAAGAAAATGATGAGAAATGGAAAAAGACATTTTTTCCTTTATTTGGTTTGAGGGAAAACATCTTGATAATGGAAAATGACTATTTTATACTTATGTGATAATATAATAATGTAGAGTTGTAAGGGTAATTAAGTAATTATACTCCTTTTCTCTTCTATTGCTCCATTTTCTCACCTGCATAGGGAAGAAAACTTTTTTCCCTTCCATCCTTATCTCTTCTCTTCTTACCATATTTTCTCTTCAATCCAAACATGAGAAAGTATGAATAAAAAAATATTTTTTAGATTTAAAATGTGTGAATATCGTATTAGTAGTAATCTTGTAAAATAGTTTTCTATCTTCTAATATGAAAAGGTATAGATAAAAAATATTTTTTGGACTTAAAAATTTATTTCTAGACTACTCATCACACTATGTTCGGCCATGTCGGTGGTATTTACAGCATCAAATTTTGTAATGGTAATTGAAATTTGTCTTGAGCACATAGGATTTTTTTGAATGTATGAATTGTGTCATTAGTTGAACTATTTTATTATTTTATTCTTGACAAATAATACTAAGTAATGGCAATAAAGTAATAAAAACGCACATAAATAATTTTTAATTTATACTACATACTCCCTTCGTCCCGCAAAAAAATTTCCCTTTCTTTTTTCATCCGTCCCAAAAAAAACTTCCATTTTCCTTTTAAAAAGTCACTTTCACCCCTACTAATTCTTAACCTACCTATCACATCACACTTTTTCTCTATTAATATATTCATCACATCCTACTTTATCCGTCACATCAAAGGACATTTTTGGAAAGTCAACACCAAAATATACTCCCCTTAAATCTTCAAAAAGTCAAAACGGGAACTTTTTTAAGGGACGGAGGGAGTGGTTAGAGCAAATTGGAATAAAATGGAGAAATATTTTAAAAAACCACTCACGGGAGGGCTCTTTTAGACTACTTGTTGAGTTGTGGTACTAGTATAGGGAATATTATCGTCCACTAATGATAAGATAACTGCATTAGTTCTACCGTTATAGTCCCACACTGCTTACACAATAGATCGATTGGAAAACACAATAGTTCCACTGATGATTACATACATAAGCATTAGTTCTGCCGTTATAATCCCACACCGCTTATTCAATAGATCAATTGGAAAACAAAGAAGCTACATAAAGCACGGCCAGCCCTATTGAAAAACCATCTTTGCGCTTGGGTCAATGACGCAGCTAGTGAGGTATTAACTGAGGCGCGTCTATTGCCGGTTGAAAACTATTTCCAAACCTCCTCTTTGGCTTAGGTTTAGCTTAAGCCTTGGAGAATTTTTGGAAGGGTTCTTTTAATTAGGAACCCTAAAATTTAGAGACTTAAACTTATTCATTATTTAAATAATTTTTTTTTGAGATATCTTCGTCCAGTCTTATTACTAGAAAATGCCAAGATATGTTCATTGTCATAATTTTAACTTAAAAAACCATTTCTCTTTAAAATTCCCATCGTTTTAGATTTTATAGCATTTTAAATATTGGTTTTTTTATTACATCCTCCATATTATTGGGTTCACGCTATCTCCCAAATATCAATGACACGAATTTATCTTTTTTTTAACTTATGTGAAAAGGAAAAGAGATTATATTTTTCCTTACTTTTCAAATTCGACTTGTGCATTTATCGGGAATTAGGGGATGGACAAGTTTCGGCCAATTCAAATAAGAGCCAGAGATTTTTGGGACCGGGCCTAAATCGTTTGCCTCGAGCACCGTTGTTGGGTCACCGGAACTCCGTCGTCGGTCGCCGGTGTTGATCATCGTTGACCGGTAGTCCATCACCATATTCCACCATCACACTCACCATATTCCACCATCACACTGCCCAACCGCACAAGGCTTTTAAAATTTAAGGGCCTCATATTTTTAAATTTGTTAATAATTTTAAAGCAAAATTATTTTTAAAAAATTAAATATGGCCTAAAATATAAGTTTTGGACCGGACCAAATTTATTTTTTCATTTTTCGGGACCGGCACTGACACTGCCCAACTCCTATTAAGATGGTAAAAACAATGTCACTCATATCTAGAGATATTTCTTTTTTTTTATGTTCCTTTATCTACAAATTCCCTATTAGGACTTGTTCTTTTCAATTAAAAACAGAGGGAGGAATGGGATACTAAATATTCCGAAGGCTATAAGGAGTAGGAAGAAACAAAAGGAGTTTGAAAAGAATGGAAAAAATTTGAAGAAAATAGAGTTTGAAAATCCGAAGGAGTCGCAATAAAATAGATGCAATTACAAGAATTTTTTAAAAAAGAGTTATGTGGTTCACATTCACTCTCCCCTGCACGAATTTTATCCACACAACTTTTTCTTTTTTTTAAAATTCTTGAAAAGGGGAATCGAGACATTTCCCCTTTTCTTCAATCTCGACTTTTAATATGTGTAGTGCCATTCATACATTGGCAATTAGGGGACGATGACAAATATCTAGAACCTTAGGCCCCGTTTGGTACACAGAATTCAAACTTTAGAATTGAATTGAAGACTTCAATTCCAATTCTGGTGTTTGGTAGTACAAAAATTATGTGGATTTGGAATTGATAATACAAAAAATGAATTAGAATTGATGAATTCAATTTTATGGAATTGAACCCCATAAAATTTCAATTCCAATTCTATCAATTCCGCATACCAAACGAACCCTTAAAATTTGAAATCAGGCCTGAATCATTCGGCAATAGAAATTGGTGAAACTGGAAAGAGTTTTAATTACGATTCAATGTTTTGGGGTTGGAACCAATTTATTTTTTGTTTTTTTTTTGTTTTTTTAAAGCTTATTCTCAATTTGTTTGGGTTGAATCACAATAACTAAACAAAAAAAAAGTACTAGTATTTCGTTTGCTTATCTAATGGCTTTACCAACCCCTCCTTTGTGCTTATCTAATGAAAGGTGTTTCCTTTTCCTAATTTTTTTTTTTAAAAAACTACTAATTTCAAATTTATTTATTGATCATGATGTTTTATTAGTTGTAATATATGAGTACATGAACTTAAAATACTTGGCAATACTTTTTGTAATAATGGTTTCATAATTTATAGGGAGCATAATCCAAATGTTCTTATCATCTAAAACAAGGGGAGGGCTGTGGCAAGAGAGGAAGGCGAGGTGGGACTGTGGGAGTGAAGATAATTTAAGTATAATCTTAGTATTGGAAAAAGTTGAATCCAAAACACACTTTGCAAATCTTTTAATTGAGACTAGAAAGATATCCCAAAATTCTACTCCCTTCGTCCCAATTTAAGTTGTTTGTTTACCATCCACATTGTTAAACTTACGTGTTTGGACTTTGGACTCAACTCGGCAAAAAAGACATCAATTGGAAATTCTAACAGAAGTTGCACACCTCAACAGACTGTGGGTAAACTTTATTTTCTTCAACAATGTACACACATATATATAATACAACATAAATAAACAAAGCAGTGTACATTCATTGATCAGGTGCAAAAAGGGAGAGAAATGGAGCTTTTTACATATATAAAGTACAGAAAGAATCTTACAGGTTGGGTGTTCAGACACCAGGCGTAGAAGATAGTCTTTCAAAAGCATCCATTCTTCTGAAGCCATCTGTGTAATGATTCCTTGGTTATCTTCAACCTTGGCAAAACTGTAGGCCTCCTCGTAGAAGAGTCCCGATGTAATTTCTCCGTGTTTGAAGCCTCATTTGCAGAACTCTTCTTGCTGTGATTTCTGCCAGTTTCGGTTTTGGATCCTGTCAAAGCAACCTCAAGACCCAAATCATGCTGCAAGAGTTTGATTATTGTTTCCCTGACTCCACTTTCATGCAGATCATCTCCCAGTACGATCTGCAGATCATCTGTAATTACATCTCCTGCAGATAAACCGATTTGAAATTACTGTTTATGCTTTTAATGTTGTAATCAACATAATATCTGATCCCATTCCATTCATATAAATATAGACTAAGCCCTCATTGAAATTTGAGGTCTTAAAAAATTGAAGGAACAATCGAATAAGCGGTAAGGTAAAATTTAAATCCTTCATTTTTATAAAAACCCAATGTATTTAGATACTCCCTTCGTCCCACTGGTTTGAATTAGACGGAGTTAAAGAAAAGTGTTGGAAAATGCAAGTGTGTGGTTTCAGTGAGTGAAATTTTGTGAGTCATGTGTTCATTTCTTTAAAGGGGAATTTACCTATATAGTACTAAAACATAGTGAGTTTCCTAATGTAGTACCATATGTTTTAATTTTCCAATGCAGTACCAGTGTTCAATGTCCACTGGACATTGTTCAAGCAAATGTCCACTGCCAGTGAACATTGTTCAAGTAAATGTCCACCTTCACTGGGCATTGTTCCCGCCATTGCGAGTACTATTTAGGGAATAAAAAGGTTTTAGGTACTACTTTGGGAAAAGACATGTTTTAGTACTATTTAGTGCAAATTTTACTTCTTTAAATGGGAATAAAACATGTATGAAGTTTTTCTCGGACATCCAAAAAGGGAAAGTAAGAAGATTTTGTGGGACGTAGGGGTATAAAAAGCCATTAAAAAACTAAGCCATCGGAAGTCTTTCGCTCCAAAATCCTCCAATCAATTCACCTGGGATTCAATATTTAGCTAAGGTTCAAACCTATATACTCCCTCCGTCTCCAAATTTAAGTTCCTATTCGCATTTTCACTGAGTTTAAGAACTAAAAAAAATGGAGTTCAAGAACTGTAAAAATTGTATGATTGAGATTGTGCAAAGTAGAAATAAATGAAATGAACCGGACAATTAGTCATCAAAAACAAAATGAAATTTTCATTTTGGGATGTCCCAGAGAGTGAAATGAGAAATTCATTTGGATAGAGGGGAGTAGGTCGCATCACAAGAGTGTGAATTAAGAAAGCAGAAAACATTGTTTTCTGACCTGGACTGAATGCCTCTTTGATCATTCTGAGCACCGCTAGAACCACTAAGCGAGCTTCAATCTGCAAATGCACAGTATGTTTAATATCGTATCAAGCAGCAACTCTGGATGCATAAGACAATCTGGAATCTGTCTGATGGGGGAAATCGGTTGAATCACTTAGAGCAGTGAAAATACAAACTAAATGATAACACACCATAGCCAGGAATAATTCTTTTACCAAAACTATCGGTTCTTATCCACACACCTTAGAGAGTTCCCGAAGATCAACGGATAGAGCATTACTCTTCTGCAACTTTTCAGCAACTTTCTCAAGAAGAAGACTTTCAGGACCTTGACAGGTCATATTCTTGTAAGCACGTTGGCCCTCCTTACGATGGGAATTCTGTATTACACCTTCGCACCATTCCTCAATCAGGTGCTTGAGATAGCGATCATCGGGTTTGTACCTGTAAGATTGACATCATAATAGCTGAAAGTGAAGAACAGCATGCAGCCATTGTTCTTTGTCAAATAGACTGTGTTGCCCTCCAAACACAGAACCTACAGGACCAAATATATAGTCCTTGAGTATGAGACTCCCCATAGTTCTGACGTTACATGGACTTGTATCAAAGGTATAATTTTTTATCACTCAGAATACGAATTTTTTAACAGCCCATAATTGTAATGCTGCTTCTACTAAACTGAATCTTGTCATTTACTTTTGGTACACCGCAGCCAAGTTAAATGATCTTATTTTGCCTGAAACCTCTTTTTTTATTGAAAATATAATCACACAGCCAAAATAGGTAATAAACTTAAGAGCTTTTAAGTACTTACCCAAATGAGCTGTCAACACATACTTGATCATCTCAGGCGAGTGCGTACTTGTGTCAAGAGTGTCTACTTTTTAGTAGTTTTTTTGAGTTCTTCTAACATAAATGACTTCTCCCCATAAACTTGATATTGTTTTTAAAACTTTTTTGCACCATTCACCCGCGACTTTTCATCAAGTGCATCCCCCCCCCCAACTTTCAAAAGTGCACTAGTCCCTATACTTTTCCTGAAGTACGTGCCTTACCACCCCACCCCAAACTCTTTATAGAGTGCATGTTTTCTCACCGAACTTTCAAAAGTGCAACATTAGTTCCTATACTTTTCATAAAGTGCGTGCTTTCTCCCAAAATTCCAAAAGTGCAACATTAGTCCTATATTTTTAAAAATTGAGCATGGTTGAAACCCTAACACTGTTTGGTTCGTGGAATTCAAAAAGGAAAAGAAAGAGGTTTTCTCTTCTTCCTCACCAAAATGAAAGGAAACTCATTTTCCTTCTTCTTAGTGCATTTTCTTCTCTTATTTTCTTTTCTTTTCACTTTTCTTTTCTTTTCCTCTCTAACCAAATACGAAAAAATGTTCTCTCTCATTTTCTTTTCTTTTCCCTTTCATATTCCTCGAACCAAACATAGTTTAATAATTTCTATTGGTTGAACATCGTCTTTAACAAACTTTAATTAAAAAATAACTTAGTTTGCTGCTAACTACATGCATGTCGAAGTCTTCTCACGCCTCAGTTGACAGCTGTTGGAATTTGATGAAAACGCCATTGATGAGTTTTTCTTCAAGTTTGATTAAAGATGCTCTACTCAACAAAGATAAATTCCTGAAACCCTAATATATACAACTTCTTGAATAAAACCCCTAAAGGCCCTTATGTGTACTGTTTCTTGAAAAAAAAGAAAAAACTTCATCAATGGCTTCTTTATCAAACTCTAAGAGTTGTGTCACCGGAAGCGTGAGAAGAAGATTTTTGACATGCAGATTTATGTCCTCCAAGTTATTTTTCTACTTTTTACATCGTATTTATGTTTGGCTAAAGACATTGGTCAACTAAGAAAAATTATTAGGGTATCAACCATGCTTCCTTTTTAAAAATATAGGACTAATGGTGCACTTTGGAAAGTTTGGGGGAAAGCGCGCACTTTATAAAAAGTATAGGGACTAATGGTGCACTTTTGAAAGTACGGGGTGAAACATGCACTTTATGAAAAGTTTGGAGGTGAATGACGCAAAAATAACTCTTGTTTTTTAAGTTGAAGACGAGCACATCCATTCACATGGACTTGGCAAAGAAATCGTTATAAAGTTGTCTTCAATTCTTCTTGAAAGACTTCTGTTGCACCCATATTGACCTATCCAAATTTCCCGTCTCTAGTCGCTAGGGTCACATTACATTTCTCATTCACCTCTGTATGATGTGATTCAATGCTTAAATTGTGAACATCAAAAATCAATCAAAAGGTTGAAAGAAATGAAAAAAACATAACCACGACAACAGCAAGTTGTGGCAAATGTGTGGTGATGAGATGACATGGGGCGTTGGATGGAGATAAAAGGGCACTGGCCTAAGAAAAGCTCCATCGAGCTCACTATGGGAGAGTGTTGTACAAAAATCCAAGACAATTATCACATGATAGTAGATATCATATTTCTTGTAACACTACTCATATGATTCCAATAATGTCTCAATAGATCTTCAAATTATTTAGTGCATGTTTTCCCCCCCAATGATGATCTCCTTTTTCTTTTTCAGTTCACAAACCTCCATCTATGATCCCTAAGTCCTAATCCACCTCTG